AGTGAGGTTTTGTTTGCCAAACAACTGGAAAGGAAGTCTCACCACCGCCTTTTGAGTTTTCAAAGTTAAAAACTCTTAGAGGGAGAGCTACAGGCGGCACCACAATCTTTTAAGCATTTTTTTTATTAAGCAAGAAAGGGAAACCCAAGGTTTTCTTGGTTAATTAGAGAGCTCAGTGCCAGCAGATTAAACCCAGTTCCCGTTACAGAAGCAGCTTTCCATGGTTTAACCAGTTGTTTTCCCATCAGAAGTGTGGACAACATGCACAAATCGAGGGCGGCAGGCAGCAGAAAATAGAGCCTCTGCAATATAACATTAAACCACCTGTTAGGCAGCAGAACGGGCTGAAATTAGCATAAAACCAACAACGAGTCTCTGAAATATAACATTAAACCACCTGTTAAGCAGCAGAACGGGCTGAAATTAGCATAAAACTAACAAAGAGTCTCTGAAATATAACATTAAACCACCTGTTAGGCAGCAGAACAGGCAGAAATTAGCATAAAACTAACAAAGAGTCTCTGAAATATAACATTAAACCACCTATTTTGTCAGTGGATGTCTCTGGATAAGCAGAAATATGTGGAATGTACTTCTTATGACACTGTAAATGGAAATTAACAGTTTACAGAAAGATGGAAATCCCTATTCATGATGCAGACTACTTGTTTCAATAGTGATTAAATGTGGATTTATGGACTTATTAAGACTAATGAAGGTCCTTTGATCACATTCAAGAGCTAGCTTAGCCTCACAAAAAAGAGATTATTGTTAGAATTTGGCTATATTTACTCACTTTAGCATAGCATGCTATAACATGATCTATGTAAATGACTGATTGTTTTATTCCTTTTAGAACTATATTTTTGTGTTACGCTAACGCTACCATGTTAACGCTACCATGTTAACGCTACCATGTTAACGCTACCATGTTAACGCTACCATGCTAACGTTACCATGCTAACGTTACCATGCTAACGTTACCATGCTAACGCTCACGCTACCACGACGTCTCCACAGATAGGCGGAGTAAGATGAGGGGGGGGGGCAACATGCAGGTGAAAGGCTGGAATATTATAATGAGCTAGAGCTAATGACGTCAGAAACTACCCACTCCTGAAACCTCCTGATTTATCTCCTGGATTCAGACTGAGGCAGCCCACAAAAACATGACTGAGTCACTTTTTTTCACACTTTTCCTGCTGATAGGCCCTCCACAGTCCCAAATGTACATGATAAAATGATTAAAAACTTGTTTTTTTCATAATATGTCCCATTTAAAGAGGACCCCCATAGTCGAGTCTCTCAGGATCTCTGTTCACTTTCAGGCCCTGAGTGAAATGACAGAGCTGCTCTCGTCACGCAGCAACTACAGCAACTACCGGCGGCTCTACGGCGAGTGCAAGGGCTTCAAGGTGCCCATCCTGGGCGTGCACCTGAAGGACCTCATCTCGCTCAACGAGGCCCTGCCCGACTACATCGACAAGGACAAGATCAACCTGAGCAAGCTGCAGCACCTGTACAGCAACATCAACGACCTGCTGGCCATCCACAGCTACACGCCGCCATTCGAGGCCAACAAGGACCTCCTGCACCTGCTCACGGTAGGAGACCTCCCCAAAAACGGCCTCCAGGAAGGGATGTTTGAGGCTTGAGCTTCACTGTCGATTTTTGTTGGGTTTTTTGTTTTTTTGTTAGTTTTTTGTGACATGGGTTTCATCAGGAGAGCTGTTTCCATGTAAAAACAACAGTATCAGGATAGATGGATGGAACCAAAGAAAACCAAAAACAGACACAAAAAGACCAAGAGCAGACCTAAGAGACCAAAAAAGACAGACAAAAAGACCAAAAACTGACAAAAAAAATACCGAAAATACCCAGAACAAAGCTAAACCGACCAAAACCAAGCTAATAAAGCCAAAAGACCAAAAACTGAGCTTAAAAAACAAGAAAACTGAGACAAAGAAACCAAAAACAGACACAAAAAGACACAAAAATACCAAGAGCTGACCTAGATAGATAGATATAAATTTCTAACAGTTTTTTTGTTTCACATATAATGTGCTCCCTTTACATGCCATGAGTTGTTGATATAAAATAGATATAGGCTACTAATATGGTTTTAACTAGCTTGTTTTTAGCCAAATCTGTGG